CCTCCAGAACCCAGGAGTTCCCAGAGCCCCAGGGGCTGCTGGGAGTGGGGGTTAGGGAGGGGAGGAGAGAGAGGAGGTAGGGAGAGAGATTCCCACGCCCTTTGAACAGCCTTGCACCCCCTTAGAACTTCCCAGCAAAGGGCCCCAGAGCAAACACCCCCTCCCGTGGGCGGGGCCGGGGCAGAGACTGGGCAGCTCTGGGGTCTGGCCAGCCCCCAGCGGGCAGCGGGCAGCACCTCACAGCTGTCCTGAGCTGCCCCTGCTGCCCCGTCAGAGGGCGGGCTGCTTTCTCAAACCCTGGTCCTGACCACCCGAGACCACAAGGCGCTCGGACCTCTGAGAGGAAGGGGGACGGGCAAAGGTGAAGTGCCAGCAGCACTGGGGTCTCCGTGTCCTGCACAGCTGGGGGTCAGGGTGGGGTCTCCAGGGTAAGGGGCAGATTCTTACCACACCCCCACCCTGGTGCTACCTCCCAGGTGATACCTACATACATGCCCTACAGAAATCTGCTCCATTCTCAGAGCCCTGGCCCCGGAAACCAGCCCTGGGACACCTCTCGAGGCCCTCCCTCCCTCCCTCTGCCCCACAGCGCACGGCCTCTTCCATCCGGTTCCTACCATGCCCCACCCTCACCCTGCCGTGCCCCTTCCCTTGCAGGTACCTTAGGGCCAACTCCCCCTGAGCTGAAGCAGAGCCCAGGGGAGCCCTTTGCAAATGCAGCTAAACCCAGACCCTGGCCCCTGGGGATGCGGGGTCCTGGGCCCCGCCCCAGACAGATGGATTAAGAACCTGGGCGCGGGACCTGGGCATCTGCATTCAACAGGCTCCTCCCCCACCCCATGGTGGGGGGGGCAAGGGTCCCACACTCCCACCCGCAGTCTGGATGAACCCCGCGGTGTGGTGCCGTGCCCGAGGACGTCTACCTGTGGGGTACGCTCCCCGCTGGCCGGGAGGGGTCCCAGAGTCCTGCTGAGAGACGCCCGGGGTGGGAGCAGCATCTGGAACACAGCAGGTGTTTGACTCAGGTGAAAGCCGGCCACTCGCCTGCCCAGGCCCCACCCCTAGAAGCTTCTGGAGCAAACAGAGGAACACCCACACCCCTGCCTTCCCACAGGGTCACGCGGCCAATGGGGACGGAGGCCTGAGTGTCCCTGGCGCTTTAAAAAACCAGCCAGACCGGCAGCGGGACCCAGGGGCCGAGTGTCAACCTATGAACCAGGAGGTCACGGTTCGAGTCCTGGTCAGGGCACATGCTCGGGTTGTGGGCTCGATCGCCAGTGTGGGGCGTGCAGGAGGCAGCCAATCAGTGATTCTCCACGGCCTCGGGGAAACAAGGTGCGCTATCCTGCTGTTCTGGGGTGCCACGGGTGCTGGCTGAGGGTGCACTGGCTGAGTGTGCACTGGCAGAGGAGAGCACTGGCTGAGGGGTTGGCTGAGGGACTAGCTGAGGGTGCACTGACTGAGGCACTGGCTGAAACCCAGGTGTGGGCAGAGCGGCTCCTCTGAGGCTCCCGGGGAGAATCTGATTCTGGCCCTTCCAGCGCCCAGAGGCGCCCGCATCCCTGGCTCCTGGCAACTCCTCCATCGTCAGAGGGTTTGATTTCTCCCTGAGTCCGCCCTCGGGACAATCTCCCATTTCAGGAGCCTTAACTTCACCCACTGGCGCTCTGTTGCCACAGGGGTGAGGTGGGCGTGCGGGTCTGGGAGAAATCAAAGAAGTCCCCAAGGCGGACTTCATTGGGAGCCACTATTCTGTGACCACAGAGGGAGGTGACAACCTGGAAGGAACTGAGGGTCTGGAGCAGACAGAGCCGTGTCCTGATCCGGCTGCACCAATCAATTGCTGGGTGAGACATGCCTGTGAGGCTGTGGGGTATGGCTCACAGCCTGGCGAGGACTAGTGAGGTACCCCAAGATTCGGGGTCAGAGGGGGACTCACACTGGGACCAGAGCAGAGGGCGGCTCAGTCCTCCCCTGTCGTCCCCTGAGTGGGCCCATCCTGAGGCCAGCTCCCAGTGTGCACATTGGCTGGAGTCCTGGGTCTCTGCCCAGCTCAGTTTGCTCATCTGTAAAAAGGGCTGAGCGATTGGGGCCTTCGGATCAAGGCCGATGTGATTGGGAAGAGCCTGTGATTCCCGCAGCCGGTGTGAACATCAGGGCTGCCGGTCCCAGGGTCTGCAGGATGTTCCCCTAAGAGCTGTGGTCACAGCACTGCCCGCTCGGCCTTGGACTGGACAACATGATGGTGCTCATTTCTGCTCTCTTCCTATCAGCGTCTTCAAGCCTCCAGTATACCAGCCCCTGCGGTGTACCAGCCCCACGCTGTGCGGCCGCCTGGGTGGTCAGAGCCCACAGCCAGGCCTTGCTTGCTCTGTGGTCCAGGGCCTGCCTCAGAGCCGCGCAGGCAGCACAAACTCAGAAAACCTGTCAAATCCAAAAGAGCACACAGCTTCCAGGTCCTGGCGTGAAGCACCATCCTCCAATTCGGAAGCCCGGGCTCCTTGAGACATGGCTGGTTCCGGGGCCGGGCCAGGAAGTGCCCGTCTGTGGTCCCCCAAGCAGGACGTGCTCACGGGATGACGGAGACGTGAGAAGACCCTGTGCTCAGGGGATGATGGAGACGTGAGAAGACCCCATGCTCAGGGGATGATGGAGCTATGAGAAGACCCCGTGCTCAGGGGATGATGGAGACGTGAGAAGAGCAAAGCTGGGCAATTTGAATGAAGAAATAAACGATGGCAACAGGCATCCTTAGCATAGAAAGTCAATGAGAAACGTAGAGGAATAAAGCGTGAGATTTTCCCCACTGAGGAGCCGTCACAATAATTCTCATTTCCGCCAAACACCAGGCCGCGTGACAAGATGCTGCTGCAGCGCGAGTGTCAAGAGGAGCAAGGCATGGACTTCGTCCCAAGTATCTTCCCCGGGTGGCACAGTGACGACAGAGCAGGAGCGATGCCTGGGTGGTGGGGAGCCTGTGCCACACCCTGAACCCAGGCATCAAAGCGACTGTCCCCGTAGGAGCCATGGTCATCACACGGCTCCAGCCACGCTGCCATGGGACACGGCGCTTCCGGGGCATCGGCCACAGGGA